TCGTAGAGTAGTGATCCGTGGCGTCAAAATTAAAACAACCAAAAAGAGCAGATTATACGAGAAAAAAATCATCTTTGTCGGGGTTCAATCATCATCTCAAAGAAACAAATATATTATCACAACATAACTCAAGTAAAATATTTTAGAAGCAATCACTCATCACTCCTGATTTTCTTCGTACTCTGTTTCAAATATAATCAAATTGTCAACGTATGCAACAACTCCTACCCTATTACATACAACACCCAATGAGCAACTATCAAATTTATCCCAACACAACAACAATACAATCTGTCAAACAAGTATTCAGTTCATAAATTTCTCAATATTAACAACAAACAGAAATACCCTCTTCCTAGTATATCTTAAAAATATCATACATCGAAAACCCACCAAAAAAAATTTAAGAAATCGGAAAATAATAAGAACGATATGATCTCGAAAATTACCTCATAGAACCAGATGGCCGTTAAAATTCAAGCTTGAGTTCGTCTTTTTCCCCAGAGAGGAGGTGAAGAACATATGGGGCGGCTCGGATCGCGACCACCCAAGCCCCGAACATGGCGACATGGCTCCGCAGCTGCTTCAGAGCCTCAGCCTTGTCTGGCTTCTGCATAAACATGGGAAACATTTTGCTTTATCTGATCCGGCTTCTCTTTCCTGCAAAGTGATATGACAAACGCAACCTGACGCTTGAAACCTTAAAACCCTAAAACCCTAGTTGGTGCTCTGCGATTTTGTAATTTGGGGGTTTTTGACGGCTTCAAAAGGATGATATACAGCTTTGCAGCTCTCGTGCGGCTGAGGGGTTTTTCGACTTTGCACGGGCGCGATATTTTCGGTTGGTGATTTGAAAAGTAAGGGTAATGTTGTAAATACAATAAATTATGTGGCTGTCTACTTGGATCATTGTTCAAATATTAATATTTTCTCATTTAATTTCTTATTAAAAATGATGTTTTCGAGTTGGTGCGGGATTAAAATTGTGTGTTTTTTATTAAATTAATGAATTACTGGTCATTAAATGAATTCAATCCACTGGAACCAGTAAGGGTTGGTTGTGAAAGTAAGAAAATATAGATGTTCGGGTGACATTGGTTTTGGATGACTGCGGCCGAAAAAGTGCGAAATAGCCAAAATTGTGCTTAGCCGTGGGCACCCTAGCAGGGCTGAGGGATGGGTGCGGGCTGGAAGCAAGTAACTAGCCAAAATTTGGCTTTGGGCCAAGAAAGGCAATAACCCAGCAACATCAGGCTGCAAGCTTGCAGGGAAAAGAAGCCATGAATGGGGCTTGGGCCAAGAAAAGAAAGCTCATATGGAGTTCAGTCGTCGTCAGCCAAATTAAGGTCATCTCCAACCGATGGCTGACCAGATGGTTCGTTTTAGCTATTTGACCCTCCAAAATTCTCCAAGATATTAATATTTTAATGAACAGTACATGACCATATTTGCTTCCTGATGAGTAGATTTTATATTATATATTTTACCCTAAGCTTAGTATAGTTTGGTTAATATATTGGAAGAATTTTGATACTTTGAATTGTATTTTCAATATAGGACTTCCGACTTCCTCTAGAGCAAAATAGGACCAAATGGACGAATTTTGGAGTGATTCCAGTTGGAGGACGTTCGTGAGTCACTTAGCTTGATCATATCAAAATTTGGGATTTTTCCATCAAGCGGTTATTTTCTGGCGATAAAAGAAAGAAACAGTGCGCAGTGCTGGAAAATGACATTTTTGGGCTTAAATGGCGTTTTTGGAGCCCAAGATGACCTCGGATGGGTTCGTGGCCTTCTAGATAAGTGTTCAGAATATTCCAAACATTAGATCCAGCTATATTGGGCCAGTTTTGGAGCAGCTTATGGGTCCAAAACGTGGGTGTTCAGATTTTAGGCGAATTTCACCATTTAATTTAGGGTTATGTTTCCTATTTTATTTAATTATTATTATTAGTTTCCTAGTGGGAAGAAAGGACCTGTTTTTAGGGTTTGTGAGGGGGTTTAGCAAATATATTGCTTGGCTGTCTACAGTTTTTAGACTACGCTTTATTTTATGCAATTCTGGAGACAGAGAGAAGTGCTAGGGTTTTGGAGATTTTCTACTTGAAGGTGTTTTTAATCCTTTTCTTAATAATATTTTCTATGATTTCAATTATGAATATGCGTAACTAATTCCTTTTGCTAGGGCGAAGCCTTGAGCCTTAGCATGAATATGTGATTTTTATTTAATTGCTTATGATTGATTGCATGCATACTTTGAATTGTTAATCACCGGGATTAAAACTATCTAATTGTCTTAATGCCTGGTCACCATTAGGATCTTTAGAAATTTAATTTGATGCAATTTTGGTCGGAAGGTTCCCTGAAATTGACGCTGGCTTCTTATGATTAATAATTGTAATTTCACTTAGGATGAATACCACGTCTTAAGGGTTGCATGGTTTTTCAAAGGGTTTTCATAAAGCATAATGAGTCTTTCATGTTCAGATTTGATCCGAACGTCCGGACGGGTTGCATGTTAGATATACGTTCTATGTTGGAGGTTCCAAGTAGAATATGAATTAGGAAAACCTAACCTTCAAAAGTGGCATGTGTAGATCATAAGTAATTGGTAAAAGTTCATAGGATTGCTAGGTGATGGTGAAACCCTAGTGCTTCTTAATTTGATTTCTCCCAAAACTATTTTCTTTTCCTTCTAGTTTTTAATATTGCAGATTGTCTTATTTTTATTAATTAAATTCATTTTTAATTTAAGTAGTTTATAAAATCAGTCATCTCAATTTCTACTTTACAATAATTAATTGGAATTTGGTTTATTTCGAATTATTTAATAATCCCTGTGGAGAATGACCTTGCGAGATCCGTTTATATTACAACAACCTTGTGATTCTTGCAAGTAAAATAGGAGATTTAAGCCCGTTCACATGAGTAGTAAAAATCCTATCACTTCCGTCTCCAACCGAGGGCCATAAGGCCAGAGGGCTCGTTTTCGCCCTGTCACAAAAAAACCGTCTCTAACTGAGGGCCAAAGGGTTATAGGGCCAAACATAATTTATTATTTAAAAACTACAACTTAAATGTTGTCTAACTTTCATGTTGTTAAATGTTTTTTTTATGTTGTATAATTTTTACGTAGGTTAATGTTATTTAATGTTGTTTCATATTGTTTAATATTGTTTAATGTTGTTCCATGTTACTTAATTTAATTTAATGTTGTATAATGGTTTAGGAAGTTATAGGAAAAAAAATAGAATTAAAAAAAATACGAAACAAATTTTGTGAAATAGAAATTATAGGAAAAAAATAGAGTTTAAAATAAAATGAAACAAATTTTGTGAAATAGAAGTTATAGGAAAAAATGGAATTTAAAAAAAAATATGAAACAAATTTTGTAAAATAAAAGTTATAGGAAAAAAATAGAATTTAAAAAAAAATGAAAAATAGAAGTTAAGGAAAAATTTTGTAAATAAAAAATAATAATAAAACTGTTAAAAAAAATCAAAGCATTCATGTCGGTTATAACCGACAATAATACATGCATATTATTTAGTATAAATGTATTACTGTCAGTTATAACCGACAATAATACATGCATATTAAGTAATATGACACATTTAAAAAAAAATCTGGCCAGCCCTCTCTAATTCCGTGGGGCCCTATCAGATTCCACAGCCCTGGCCTGGCCCTCGGTTGGAGATGATTTTCGGGTTATTTTCGACCCTCTGGCCCTCTGGATCCTTCGGTTGGAGATGGCATAAAGAGCTCTGGTTCTCACCGGAAACAAAGACACTCGCCATTGCACGTGGCGTCATGTCTCGAGGACCGAGCACAGGGCTCAAAGACATCACCACCATTCTCGATTGCCTTTAAGGAGGTGGTTCCATACGAGGGGAAAATGTAAGATATTTCTAAAATCATAAGAACAACAACAGGACATTAGGATCACGGATTTGATAAACAAAAATTACAATAAATCAATTACAATTTACTTATCTTTGGAATACAGAAGACATGGCTCTTGTGGATGACAAATGAGTCTTCTACTTTCAACAAGCGAAAGTGTCCCAGTAATAATAGGGTTTGCTCAGAATGGAACGTGTGTTTTGTGAAAGTAGGGACACCCTTAATATAGTAATTAGGGTTCCCTTAATTCCGCCTATTATAGTAATTAGAGGAATACACCAAATCACCATTTATTCTTAATGTTGCCCCACCAAGGCATGTACAATATGTCTTACTTAATTAAGGTTTCAATTAGTCAACTAAATATATCTTGGTTCCATGATTCTTGCTAACCAATATTGAATCACGTTAAAAACCAAATATCTTGAAAATAAAGTTATTTATCTTTCAAGTAATTCGATTCATAATATTAATAATTGACAACTCAACATGAATCTTACAGAAAATCCTAGTTCTCGCATCTGTCAAGAACCGTCTGGAATCTCTCAAATCGGTCGTCCGAGATGGCTTCGCCATTACGGTACGATTGCGAGTTGACGGGGGATGCTGGAGCTCGGTTTCAGGCAGGCTGGTGTGTGGCAGGCAGCCAAGCCTGAAGGTAGGGACGGACGACGCAATTATTCGCTAATGTTGGACAATGGCTCGGCTTGGCGTGGCTTCAGGCCGTGGCTCAGCTGCAATTTTTTCTTCTTCTTTTTTTGTCGGTTAGGGTTTTCAAAACCCTACTTCTTGCTTCTATTATCATAGTGTAGCATAAATTTTTGTGAATTGCTAAATTGGTTAGGATATTTATGAGTATATGCGAGTAACGAATTAAGATTTTTCAACAGAACGAGTTTTATTTGGAGATATTTTTCTTGTCACGTAATATCTTATTTTTCATATTACAACACGATTAAAATCAGTGTTACCAGCAAAATATCCCGTTTACTTGGTCTTGTTCAGAAATTAAAATGAGGAGGATTATAAAATATTAAACAAACATAGTCCAGATGGAAAATAAAGTGGTGCATTCCGCAGATGAAAATAACAGCTGGACGCGGTCTTAAATTCAGCGACGCTGATGTGTCGTAGGCAGCGATCACCCCGAAACGAATCGAGTAAGACCAAACCGACTACACCAGTCAACCAAAAGCATTAACCCCTCTTCCCTCCTCTTTCCCCCACTCTCTCTCCCTCTCTCTCTTCACTCTTCAAAACACCCACCGCCGCCAATGATTCCTCCTCCACCTCCTCCGCCACTGTATTAATACTCATAAAAATGGTCGTTGCATCCCCATCTCCTGCACCCGCCCCCACTCTTTCCACCCTCTTCATCACCACCTCACTCCATGCATCATCCCCGCCGTCCAAGTACCCCATCGACTTCTCCCCGCCCTTAATCGCCATGGTCGTGGTCGTCGCCACCGCCTTCCTTATTGTCACTTACTCCCGCCTCATCTCCCGCCACGTCATCCCGCCAATCCTCCGCCTCCAACGACGCTGGCACCACCGCCGTCGCCGCTCCTACCTCCCATCATCCATCGGTGACATCGACTCCCCGCCCTACGACTCGTCGCTCGACCCCGCCGACATCGGCTTCCACGTGTTCTCCCCCTACGGCCTCGACGAGTCGGTGATCAAAACAATCCCCCTCTCTCTATACACATCAAAACAATCCCTCCTCAGCCGTGACTGCGCCGTTTGCCTGATCGACTTCCAAAACGACGACTACGTTCGAACGCTGCCGGTCTGCTCGCACGTGTTCCACGTTGACTGCATCGACATGTGGCTGCGATCTCACGCCAACTGTCCTCTCTGCCGGGCCGGAATATTCCGTCCGGAATCTCCATTCGTTCCGTTGATGGCCGCAAGGATCAGGCCCAGCCTCGACGACACTGTTTTCCGGAGCATCGCGCTCGAGCCTCTTGCCGAAGCTACGGCGCCGTGTGATTCCGATTTTTTAGTCACCGAGATCGAGAGGTGCGCGGAGGAGCGATCGCCGAGGAGGAGCTCCAACTACTGGGAGGATTACCGGATCAACGGCGGAGATTTTGTTTTAAAGAGGTCGCACTCGTTCGGATTCGAGCGGAGCTCGGCGTCGGCGGAGAGGATGATGGTGACGGAGCCTGCGACGGCATCACCGTGGCGGTACCGGAGAGGAAGCTTCTGGAGCAAGCGGCCGTCGCCGTTCGGGTCGTTGACGAAGCCTCGAGTCTTCTCCTTCAGATCATCCTACAGAGGCGGCGTCAGCATGAAATCGCCGTTCTTCCGCCGAAAAGGCTTCTTCCCGCTGTCAGAGTCGAGCGCGAGATTCTCCGGCGCCGGAACCGGTGGATATTCGCGGCGTAGCAAGTCGATGACAAGTCCGATGTTCGGAAGATCATCGGGGTTATCGGCTTTCTCATCGAGCCGGCTAAGGTGCGGAGATCCGGAGGCGCTGTTGTCGCCGGAGAGGTTTAACAGGAGATAGGAACGAAGGAAGCGAGGTTAAATTCCGGATCGACACGTGGAGGGTGGTGATGGAGCGAGGGCGGGGTGGATCGGACGGTGGGAGATGGGTGGAGGCAAAGGGGGGAGGAGAGTTAATGAGGGCTGGTGCGGTCATTAACTAGGGGGGGGCTGCTGAGACGGCATTTAATGCCCAGAATTGACGAGAGAGAGGAAGAGCAAGAAAAAACACACAAATCAAAACTGGGGTTTTAATTTTATGGAGAGAGAGAAGAGAGAGGATCATAAATGTGGAGAAATTTAATGGGTTTTGGCGCCATTTATTTATTTAGGGGGAAAGATTGGGTTAGCCTTTAAATATAGGGCTGCTTATGTAGAGCAAACCGACCGACAACCATACAATTTAGAGCATGTGGGAAGGAGTTGACAAATCACTTGTGCATGTGAACTATACAACAGGGGTAGGCGTAGCTAGGGTTATCCAGTTACGGCTTAGGGTTTAGAGTTTAAGGTTTAGGGAGAAACTTGTCTGTCTTGGTTTTACCATCACAAAATTTTGAAGAGATGGAAAGTGCGGAGAGGGGGAGGATGTGAAGTGCAATGCGGGTGGAGTTGAGGCTTTGAGTGCTTGTCCTTGTCATTCTTTTTATCTTCCTTGACTTTGGAAGACATGGATGTGTGGTCGTTGTTGCATTGCGGTATTGCGCATTGGGCAAAGTCAAAGCTAAGTGGGTCAAATTGGAATTTGGGTGGTTTCCAATTACTTGGGAGGCATGCTTAGGGTTTTGAGAAGGGAAAAGAATGTTACATGTCATTTTTGGTGTTTTACTTACGTGTCTTGTGTAATATTATTGTAGCATTTGTCAGATGAATTTATGTTACCTTTGTTTTGCTCTTATTGAAAGAGAAGTAATTCCATTTTGATGCATGGATTCGATTATATTGCGTATGGTAAACATATTTACTTGGAATGACATAAGTTATTAATCCGAGAAATCAACTAAATCAGTCCAATTATGAGCTTTAAGTATTATAGGATTATGGATTATAACGTGGATCTCGTATGTTTTTCGTTTTTGTATGTATATCATACTCTCATATGTCAATCGGTGCACGATAAGTTATGAATCAGAATAATTTCCGAATATTAGGGCTCCATTACTAGTTCTTAAGGTTGAATTATTGTTTGGTTGTGCCTGCTTCCTTATGATTTCTGATGAATATCAGTTTCCTGTTGTAAAAATTATGAGAATAATTGAATGCCTACATGGGAATAGCAGTGAATAGTAGGAAATAGTTTGTTGTGTTATGTTTTTTCAAAAGTGGTTTATCACGGATGATTGTTTGATTTGTTGCGGGTGATTTTCATTCTCTGTAAACCTACAAATGTGGCTCTATAAATAGAACACTCCGCGGGTGATCTAGACACAACAACTAAAAGAAAGAAAATAACTAAAAGCAATAATATCAGTATCCCTCCATTTCTCTTTTTATCTGCAATCCTTTTATGTTATAGTTACGAAACAAAACAGTATGATATTTTACACCCGCTTCGCTTATGTCCTTAACAAAGGTTATCTCTCAAATTTTTGCCTATTTATAACATTTCCATATTTGTCTTATTTTTCATTTCCTTTTGTGTAACCTGGCTGCCTTTTGGTGTTTGGTAGTTTTGTTGGTTAACTAGTTCTCTAGTTGCCCTTGTAGCCTTGTCCTAAATTGGCCTACTTTTTGTTTACAACTACAAGCATCTGTTTTTTAATCAGTTAACAGTTATTTGCTGTGATATATGGGATATTTGGAAGAGCCAAAAAAGAACCCTTATGCAAGTAACAAGATCAATTTTGTGTGTGGAATTCTATAAAAGGAATTCTTTGAGGACTTGTATGACACGGCTGCACAAGTACACTATTACAATAATTTTATGTGTCAATAATATAAGTAAATGTGTTATTTTTTTTCTTTCTATATATCTTTGTATTATTGACATTGAACAGTAATTAATGATGTACTCATGTCATACAAGTGACTCTCGGATTTCTTCAGCCTTGCCGTGACTAGCAAAATGCTTAATACAGACTGAGTGAATAAATGCGGAAAGCCCGATTTAACTTAAGCAACCAAAATGGGCTGCTGACAAAGGGTATAAACAATGCCCAACCAGGCCATTTTGGGCTTGGATGAAATTATAGTGGTGGGCCAAGTCGAAGTTAAAAACTCATTGGTGTGGGGGTTTTTTTTTGGGCTTAATATTATTCAGTGACGAAGATTATAAAAGTCATTTAGTTATTTAATATTATAGTGTAGTGATATTTCTCTTTATTTGTAAGTAAGAGGTCTTAGATTCGATTCTCGCCAAAGGTGAATTTGAACCACATTATTGTTAGTCTATTGTGAGGCTGAGCCCACCCCCTCTGCTTAGTGTAAATAATATCGTTTGTTCAAAAAAATATTGAGAAAGAATGCATAACTCTGTAATTTAAGCTTAATCTACTCTGACTTAAGTCAAGATTATTTCAATGGGATATTGTGTACTGGTTGTCTTAGACATTTTGAATACCGTATGCGAACTTTATAAAGGGACCTTCCTTAAGATGAGGAAACATTTTAAACTATTTTTTCTTCAAATATCCTAGACTTTTTTAAACTCTTTTTTCCAAACTCTTAAACTGCATTTTGACTCATGCAACTTTGGTTGCAATTATAGGCAAATTCAGGTTGTAGCTCTCCTTGTTTAATTAAAAAACAAAGGGAAATGGAGGCTTTCAATTTGTCAACACGTTGGATATCAGAAGTTGATCAACAAACAAACGTCCAAAGAGGTCACAAATATTGTTGGGATTTCAGCATCCAATACAAGTAGATAGCTTGCTCCAACCATTTTAGGCCACTGTTTAGGCTTATGCTACCAAAAATCCACCTTTACTTTTTGAGGTCATACCCAACCTCACCTGCACTGCATCTGCTTGTCTGGGTTGTTAGAAAATGCAGTCACCAAATTATTCATTTTTCCAAGAAACAAGAGAGAAAATCTGATACAGTCCTTTTAGGGCTGTAGAGAATTGGAAAAGGTAGAACAAAATGCAAGTTCGGAAAAATGCAAGTTCGGAATAAAGAGAAGCTTGACAGCCAACTCGATAGTAATAATTTCATTCAAATCAGACTTGTCCTCCAACATCCCAAGCACGAGTTATTTATACAATAAAAGGAACATAAACTAGTATATGAAATAAATAGAGAAACCCAATAGACATAGTAGTTTTAACATTATTAGCCTTCTTAATCTTGGAATCTGATGGGTTTTGGACGTTCCTTGGCAATAGAATACTCATTAGATGATGCCCCTTTTGACTTTAATTCTATGTGTGACTCCTCAGATGATCCTTCATCAAAATCTGCAAGGAAGAGTTTGTCACGCGTGATAAATGGAGAAAAGGATAAGACATAGTAAGGTCGAATTAAGTAATGGGTCTGGCTACAGTAGTATGTAAGATTTAAACGTTGTAAAGATCCATTATATCCTCTATATCAATTTTAACGTGAATTTTCTAAATCACTAGTGGTTCGTACTATGAATGCATCACCTGTAATTTGAAAAAAAGTTGAGGTTCCATCGTAAAACTAATTGACAATATAGAAAGTAGTTCAACTTCTTATAAGCTCATGCAATGTCCCTTCTCCCATCGGGATTTATTCTCAACATAATGAGAATTCCTTTCCCCTTCTCCTTTTGGGAATTATTTCTAACAAGTTTAAAGAAATGAGCACATTATTCTAACCAACTAATTTAATATTCGTTAAGCTGCATTTTTCTTCTGTCTTTCTTTTCGAGCAAGAAAATGCAGTCATGAAACTATTGACTTCCAAGAAATAAAATCTGCAAGAGGTCCTCTCTCATGAGTCACGACGAATGAGATCAGGATAAGATAAGGTAAAGAGGTAAACCTAGACTTCTAGTCAGATTAGTAATAATAACAAAAAGGAATGCTAATAAGATCTGATGACTGGCATGTTCTCTAATTAAAAATTCTTTTGTCTAATTAAATTTCATTAGAATTTCGATTGAGAGAGGGATTGCTGAGTCCCAAGTGATCATGTAAAACTAGCAAGGGATGGATTACAAAATGTTTAATAGGAAGAATTAGAAATGTACCATATGCACACCTTTTAACTGTTGAAATACCTCACATCCATTGTATCTTTGAAAAAAGAAGTGTTTAAATATCTTAACCTTGCTCCAACTAATACTGATGCCTTTTGTGATAAAACTTCACACCTAATGACTTGTGTATGTGGTAATTACAAAGTTGGGGGATAATATCGGTGTTGTTGGAAGTGAGCATTTGGTCCATCTATTTGATAATTCAACATGATATCAGAGCCAGAGAGCGGGTCTGTACTGTATTGTTACGTGATGGGTGTGTCCTCCTGGCCCTGCGTGTAGGGTGAGTCCCCTTGGCTCCACATGGTTGTCAATGTGTGGATCTCCCATGTGTGACCCAGTAATTGGGTCCCTCGTGATGGGCATGTTGAAATATCTCATATCAACCGTATCTCTGAGAAAGAAGAGTTTAAATATCTTAACCCCGCTCCAACTAGTATCAAGGCATTTTGTGATAAAACTTCACACCTAACACCTGATGTGATAAAACCCCGCACATGACACCTGACAAATTGTACAGGTGATAATTACAAAGTTAAGGATAATATATGTGTTATGGGAAGTGGACTTTTGATCAATCTCACTAATAATTCAACATTAATTAAGTAGCTATATAAGTAAATCGGTCTCACATATCTTTCTAATGCTCATATGATTTATTTATAATCTCTTTTATCTAATATTTTGTCGCCACTTGACCCTGAGACTTGAAAATTCCTAACATAGCCTTAAGAGAGTCTCTTACAATAAACGGAGGATGTATGCCATCTTTAAGTGTAAGAGAGTGAACACATTACTCTAACTAGCTGATTTAATCTTAAAAAACTCTAAAACACTAGCTAAAAAAAATCTTCTTGAAGTGAAAAATAATTTACTTTGGCAAGGTTGATTAGATTAAAATTCTTTAAGGTGTCCTAACTTATTTTTCATTTATGTGACTGAACCATACAATTATGATTAGATTACACTAGTCTTTAAGTATCCGCGTGAATGCGTTAATTGCTTCAATAATTTTTTTTTTTATGACAACAAAAATTCAAATATTTGAAGTAAATGAATAATATTCGAACATGCTAGAAGAAACCCCTTATAAACCAATCAAAGCAACTGAATCCACATAATAAAATCAGTCTTTCAATTTCCATCTACATTCTATTGAATTTACATTAAGAATAGAGAAAATAATATTTAATAGATAACTGATTGAATTAAATTATTGTTAGCCCAGTGTGAGGCTAAGCCCACCTCTTCCCCTTTAGTGTAGAAAACATCGTTTGTCAACAACAAAAAAACATGATCATTTGACAACAAATCGAATCATATTAATATGCGCGTGCGAAAGACTTTTTTTATTTTATTTTTATAATTGGCACTACGTGCCTCTTAAGTGTTTAAAAATAGAGAAAACAATATAACTAATTGAATCGCATTATTGTGCACGTGTGAAAGACCTTTTTTTATCACTGGCGGTACACGGCTCTTTAGATGTTTTGAATGTGTTTAAAAATAGAGAAAATAATATTTAATAAACAACTTATTGAATCACATTATTGCTAACCTAATGTGAGGCTAAGCCCATCCACTCCTTCTTATTGTAGATAATATCGTTTGTTTGAAAAGAAAAAAATAATCATTTGACAACTAATCGAATTACATTATTATGCAAGTGCGAAAGATTTTTTTTTATAACTAGCACTACGCGCCTCTTTAGATGTTTTGAATGTGTTTGAAAATAGAGAAAAAAATATTTAATAAACAACTGATTGAATCACATTATT